GTGGCTGCAGCATTATGGGGCTCTGCTGCCAGATCTGGGGGCTTTTTCCAACACAAATCACAGAATCCCAGAATGCTTCAGACGAATCGATCCTCCCCAAGCCCCGTCTGTACAGAGCCCGGCAAGGCCACGGGCGCCACGGCACAGGCTGGACGGGTGCCCTGGGAGGACACACCCTGAGTCAGTTCATGGGGAAAACATTTCCCCAAAGCAAACACCCACGGCCCTTGGCTGCTGAGTGCTCTGGTCGGGAAAGCCCTTGAGATACAATCAACAGACTGGTTTGGGTTGGAAGGGACCTTAAAGCTCATCCAGTCCCAACCCCCCTGCCAGCAGCAGGGACACCTTCCACTAGACCAGGTTGCTCAAAGCCTCATCCAGCCTGGCCTTCAACACTTCCAGGGAGGAGCAGCCACAGCTTCTCTGGCCAACCTGGGACAGTGTCTCACCACCCTCACACCAAACAATTTCTTCCTCACATCTCATCTCCATCTCCCCTCTGCCACTTTCAAGCCATCACCCCTTGTTCTGTCACTCCCTGCCCTTGGCCAAAGTCCCTCCCCACCTTCCTGGAGCCCCTTCAGGTATTGGAATGCCTCCAGAAGGTCCCCCTGGAGCCTTCTCTTCTCCAGGCTGAACCTGGAGGTACCTAAAAGCATCTATCACCTGGCGAGGGCTGTGCACCCAAATGCATCTTGGCCTTGATACACCCCCGGCTTTAATGTGGGCAGCACAAAGGGCCGTATGTAGAGAGCCTTTTGTACCCATGGAACATCAACTGGTCTTCCACATGTTCCACATCAGGGCCATAAAATGGGACCTTGTCACCCAAGGGGTGGATGGTTGGTGGAGGGGGCTGCTCTGCACAGGCACAGGGAGTTTGGTGAAGAGACCCAACCCAGGGGATGGATGGCATCCCAGGCCTCACCGGTCATGGTGGAAAAGCATGTTGACCACGTCTTTGAAGAGGTCAGGTTCCTGCGGGGAGAAGAAGCCACTCTTGATCTGGTCAATGGCTTGCTTCAACTCGGGGAGCTGGTCGTAGTACTCCTGGGCATTGTACCTGGCAGGGAAGGGTTGGTATGAGCTGGTGCTGCTCCAGTTGCCTGTGGTGGCTCCTCTGTGGCATCCCCAGCACTCACCCTTCCCTGTCCAGCTCCGTGACATCCTCCACCCTCATGCCGAAGATGAAGAGGTTTTCCTCTCCAGCCTCCTCGGCCATTTCCACGTTGGCTCCATCCATGGTGCCGATGGTCAGAGCTCCGTTCAGCATGAACTTCATGTTCCCTGTACCCGACGCCTCGGTGCCTGCCGTGGAGATCTGCTCTGACAGGTCAGTAGCAGGGATCACTGCCAACAAAACACATGGACACGGGGGCTCATAGTGACCAGCTTTGGGTTTGCATCATGCCAAAGGATGTTAAATCTGCTGTCTTGCAGTGATGGAGCCCTGGGCTGGTGGACAGCCACGAGGTGGACATCCCCTCCCCACAGCATGCCCCATGTGGGCTACCTTTCTCTGCCAGAGAGACCCTGTAGTTCTCCAAGAAGATGACCTTCAGCTTGTTTCCCACAACGGGGTCGTTGTTCACCACCTGAGCCACAGCGTTAATGAGCTTGATGATCATTTTAGCCATGTGATATCCTGGGGCAGCCTAGGAGACAAGTCACAGGTGAACCTGGAGGACTGGTGACAAGGGCAGGCAAGGAGCACCCAGCTCCCATGTGCCCAGGGAAGCACCCACTCAGTCCTGCTCCCATCCCTCATCCAACTCATATGTTACGCCACCAAGTTTTTGGGCGCTTGCACGACCATAGGCAGCAGAACCTTGCTTGGGTTGAAGCCAACAAGTGCTGCCTCAGGGCTTCTGAGAGGACTTTGGGGACACAACCCCATGAGAACATCTGCACCCAGATTTCCTAGGGCATTTTCAAGGACTTCTTCCAAAATGCCTAGAAGTCCTGGCCCAGCTTACCTTGCCCCCAATGATCACTGTCCTGGGCACAAACAGCTTTGCAGGATCCTTCCTGATGCCTGGAGAAGACAGCAGCCTGGTGTCACCCTTGGTTTGAGCTGCAGCCCCGGGGGACAGGGATGCTCATGCGTCCCCGTGGGGCACGCGGTGGCTTACGGTTGTACATGGTGATGATGTGCAGGCAGTTCATCAGCTGCCGCTTGTACTCGTGGATCCTCTTCACGTGCACGTCGAACATGGAGGAAGGGTTGATCTTCACTTTGTATTCCTTCTCCAGGTACAGTGCAAACTTCACCTTGTTCTCCTGGGTGAGGGCAAGGAGCATGTCAGCCCCCAGCCAGTGCTCCCTCCGCCCATGTGCCCCCTGCCCACACCTCTCACCTGCTTCACTTTGGCAACCTCCCGGACAAAGAGGTCATCCTCCACAAACTCCTGCAGCTTGGTCAGCTGGCTCAGGTCCCGCACGTAGTCCTCCCCTATTTTCTGCAACAGGAGCAGAGCCACGGGCTGACCATGGGATGGGGACAGCCACCCTCATTGGCACGCTGCTCCCGCCCGGCAAAGCCAATGGCGCTTGGGAAGCAGGAGCAGGGGACAGGGGTGAGATGCCAACAGAGCTCGATCATTTAAAAGAGGCAAATCACAGAATCCCAGAATGGCCTGGATTGGACAAGACCTTTAAGCTCATCGAGTCCAACCATGAACCCAACACTGACCAGTCCCCTATGACTAACCCATGTCCCTCAGCACTGTGTCTACACGACTCTTCAATCCCTCCAGGGATGGGGACTCCACCACTGCCCTGGGCAACCCCTTCCAATGCCTCAGAACCCTTGCAGCAAAGAAATTCTTCCTCACATCCAATCTAAATGGCTGAGGTTGGAGCAGTGTCCCCAGGGGCAGTGTCCCTGGGGTTGGGGTGGGTTGGGTTAGGGTACACCGATACCTCTGCAATGAGCTCCGCCAGCCCCGGGTTGCAGAGCAGGAGCCAGCGCCGCGGGGTGATGCCGTTGGTCTTGTTCTGAAACTTCTCCGGCTCCAGCTCTGCAAAGTCCTTGAAGCTGGGAGGGTGAGGAGGGGACAACTTCAGCCTCACCCACCTGCCACCACCACCACCATTTCCAAGCCAAGGGTGATCCACCACCACCTCCCTCCCCACGCTTACACCTGAGTCTTGACTATTTCGGAGTGGATCTTCGCCACGCCGTTGACAGCGTGGGAGCCAACGATGCAGAGATGGGCCATGTTGATCCTCTTGGTGCCTCCCTCCTCTATCAGGGACATCCTCCGCAGCCGGTCCACGTCATGAGGGAAGAGGGACGCGATGTGCTGCCGGTGGAGGGAGGAGAGTTGGTGAGCCATGCTGGTGTTTTAGGATGTCCCACCTGATGGCTCCCGAGGAGGTGGCCATAGCAATGTCCCCAATGCATGTGACACCAGCCAGAGCAGTGGCTTTTACTTCAGAGTGACAGTGCCCTTCCCCAGCATGGACGTCTCTGGACAGAAGGACCTCCAGACCCCATGGAGAGGGGCTTGGGGGTACATGCTTGGCCAGTGGGGCCATTTTGGTAAAAGCTTTGTGCTGCCAGATCAGGAGGCCAAACCACCATCTCCTTTGTAACCCCAACTTCATCCTTTCCCAGGATGAATTTAGCATTTAGGGAGCAAAGAAATGCCACCAGATAGGTCCCTGGAGCAACGGGTGAAGTCTTTAAAACATCTATTAACTGCGTGATGGTGATAGGTTGGTGGGAAGGGCTTTCCTACACAGCAACCTCCCAAGATAGCAGCCAGAACCACCCGGGCACACTGTCACCAGTTTGTGTATCCCCTTAATCCTGACAGCCCAACGCGTGCCAACCCTGTCCCCCTCTCTGTGCTGCCCCAAGGCACTTACATCCAGGTGTCTTTGGTTGATCTCGTAGATGATCTGCAGGTGTCTGGGGAGCAGCTTCTCTACCAGGTCCACTGGCCAACGCTCCAGGGCTTCAGGGAGCACAGTGTGGTTGGTGTAGGCAAAGGTCCTCTTGGTGATGTCCCAGGCCTGATGGGGTGGAGGGAGCCATGGGTGGGTGCCAGCAACCACACATGGTCCTCCCACCATGGCCAGCATCATCGCTGAGCCAGTTCATCCAAGTCCATACTGGTTAAACCCAACCTGACTGCTCCACATCCCTCCCCAGGCCACCAACAGCTACGAAAGTGGTTCCCCAGCTCCTCTGCCACAGGCAGGTGGGAGGGTGGCTGCAAGCAGAGAGCACCCAGGGGCCACGTCAGGTCTCCCTACCTTGTTCCACGGCAGCTTCTCGATGTCCACGAAAATCCTCATCAGCTCAGGGATGGCCATGGCGGGGTGTGTGTCGTTCAGCTGGATGGCGACCTGTGGGGAGAGCAGGGGTGGCACATGGGGACACATGGACATCCCACTGCCCACATCAGCTGGGCACAGACACCCACGGAGGGTCCACAAAACCTCTCCAGCCCTGGGTGTCCATCTGGGAGGTGTCACAACGAGCTCCAGGGCACCATGGCAGAGCAACCCTGGCTCATACCTGGTCGGGGAAGGAATCAAACACTGTCCGGACACTTTCTGTGCTCCCAAATTTGGATGCTTTGAAGCGGCGTATGATGTCCTGGAGGGTGGCAGCCACGACAAAGTACTCCTGCTTCAGTCTCAGCTCCTTCCCCTCGAAGAACTGCGAGCAGAGGAGCAGAACGCTGCAGGATCACACCACGTTGGCCAAGCACGCCTGTGCTGGAGGAGCTGTGCCATCCTGGGGGGGACCCACGCCAGCACACAGCCACGGCACAGCACCCAGCCCTCCTGCTTCCCCCAGCACCGGTGTGGGCAGCAGCTCTAACCCCAACATCTTCTCACTTGCCAGATTTCAGCACAAAGGTTTGAGATGTGCTGGTACCAACAGAGGTTTCAATCACCCCGAGCAACGTCGAAAACCTGTTCGCCCTGCTTTGAAAATTTTGTCCTCAAGGAAAGGTACTGGGGCAACTGGGAAGGAACCTACAGGAGCTGTAACACCTCGGAGCGGTTTCTAAAACAAGAACTCAAACCATTGTTCCTGCAGCACAAAACATCAACCTGCTGCTCTGCAAAAGAGGATCTGCAGGAGATGTCCTCACCACCGGAGCTGCGCTGCTCCCAGCTCTCCTCACCACCTGGGAAGGCTGGGTTAGGATTATATAGGAAAATTCTGCCCCCTCCCTGGAAGTGTTCTCGGCCAGGCTGGATGAGGCTTTGAGCAACCTGGTCTAGTGGAAGGTGTCCCTGCTGCTGGCAGGGGGGTTGGGACTGGATGAGATTTAAGGTCCCTTCCAACCCAAACCAGTCTGGGATTCTAGGAATGTCCCAGCGAGAGTGGCTGCCCTGCAATCTGGAGCCATCCCTAAAACAGGGACACTCCTCCATCCTGACTTACATTGTCGTTGGGGTAGAGGACACGGGATATGTTCTCTGCCAGGTTTCTGTCCAGCACAGCCTGGATGTAGTCTCCGACGTTGACTGGGGATGAGCAGAGGGATAAGGTGGGTGCAGGACACCCCCAGTGCCCCATCCCACGGCGCACCCTACCAGCAGCCACTTACAGTCCCGCAGGTTGAAGTCGTTGGGTGCCCGAGCTGACCACAGGCGCATGGTGTTGACGGTGTTGTTCATGTACCCGGGCACGGGGGTATCGTAGGGCAGTGCCAGCACCACCTAGGACATCATCAGCACAGACTGAGCTGGGCTGTGACCCCAGCTGCTGTCCCACTACGTCCCCCCTGTCCCACCAGAACCCTCCCATCCTGCAAGCACTCTTGTAGGCTGAGCTCAGGGTTGCACCCACCTTCACAAGGTGGCAAGTGTGGGGACATGCTTGTTACCCCCAGACCCAGCCCTGGGGACACTCTGGCTCCCCTGGGTCTGCCCGGCAGCTGGTGTTTGCCAGAGGTTTTCAGAGGATGGGGAAAGGCTTCTGAGGGTCAGGAGAAGGTGAATTTAAGCCATTGTGCCAGGCTGTGCAGTGCACACAGACCTTCTGGAGGTCCTCTTGGGTATTTCAGAGGTTGGCTGCAGACATGGAGCAGCAAAACCTGTCCCCATTCTTATGTCCATCTCCAATTTCCTCCACTGCTGCCTTTTCCACCCTAGGGAAGCAGCCTCACCAGTCCAACCCTCCCTGGCAGGACCTGTGCCCGGCCAGTGAGAGACCCCAAATGATGGGACAAGCCAAGCAAGGGTGAGTTCCCCACACACCTGCACCCCGGCTCATACCTGGGTGTCGACCCACTTGGTTCCGGTGGCACCGTGCTCCACCCGCCCGTAGAAGTGCACGGGCAGCATGTACTCAGGACGGGCTTTCTCCCAGGGGTTGCCATGCCGGAGCCAGTCATCAGCTTCTTCCACCTGCCAGAGACAGCGAGAGCGGTGACAGGGCCACCCAGCCCTGGGGACCTCCCTGGGTTGTGCCACATGGAGGATGGTGGGGAAAGGCATCTGGTTGCTCACGGTGCTTTGGAGTCTGTCCACCCTCAACCTGGATGGTTGAGCCCAGGTTGATGGTTGTGCTGCTGGGTGAGCCCAGGGCAGGGCTCTGCCCAGACCACCCTCAACACCAGGGTCTCCTTGCTGGAGGGGTGACAGATGGGGACAGGGAGGTGGGGATGAACACAACGTTGCTCTGAGCACACCGCTAACACCACCGTGCTGCGGCCAAGGAGCTGTTCGTCCTCTTAATTAGAGCTTCAGGCCGGCTAACGAAGCGGCCTTGTTCCCTACCCTGGCAGGGACATCAGAGGGGAGAGCCCAGGTTAGACATCACCTTTGGCATGGCCAGGTCAGAGCTCTGGGCAGCAGGGCCAGGGGAGATGAGCCCATTAGGACACAGCAGCCAGGGAATGCTGTTTTGCAGAGGTGGGGAGGAAAGGTGTCTCCTTGCCGGCTTTTGGGAGCACTCGCAGGGTCTCTCCAGGTATTTGGGGATGGTCTCCCACCAGGGGTTTTGCAGATCATAGAATCTCAGACTGGTTTGGATTGGAAGGGACCTTAAAGCTCATCCAGTGCCAACCCCCCTGCCATCAGCAGGGACACCTTCCACTAGACCAGGTTGCTCAAAGCCTCATCCAACCTGGCCTTCAACACTTCCAGGGAGGAGCAGCCACAGCTTCTCTGGACAACCTGGGACACTGTCTCACCACCCTCACACCAAACAATTTCTTCCTCACATCTCATCTCCATCTCCCCTCTGCCACTTTCAAGCCATCACCCCTTGTTCTGTCACTCCCTGCCCTTGGCCAAAGTCCCTCCCCAGCCTTCCTGGAGCCCCTCTAGGTTGTATCTACGAGGCCATTCACAGCTCTAATCAATGGCAGAGGATTAAATCCTTGGCCCAACTCAACCCCAGCCTGGCCTGGCACTGGCACCACGTGGCACTCGGGTTATCAAAGGTTTTTCGGTGGCTCCTCTCTCCCCTGCCCTGTGCTCACACCCCTTGTGACAGACACCGTCCAACCTGGCTGGGGCGGTTGCACAACAGCCAGAGCAGCTTCCAAGCAAACACAGTCAAAGGAGAGGAACTCATTTTTAGGGTTTTTAAAAATTTTTCTATCTGTTGACCTCGCAATGAGGGTGGCAGCCCAGCCAGGCTGTGGGTGAAGGGGAAGAGCCCGGGATGCTGTGGGGTGGTAGCCTGGGGAAGCAGAAGGTGAGAGGTTCTCGGGAAATCCTCCTCTTGGCAGTGGTGGCACAATAGAAATCACTGAAGAGATTTCTCTAGGGCTGCTGCTGAAATTCAGAGCTGTGCAGCTGTGCCATGAAACACCAGCATGGCTGTGACCAGTGCTGATGTTCCCAGAGTTCAGGGAGGACATGGAGGTGCTGGAGCGTGTCCAGAGAAGGGCAACGGAGCTGGGGAAGGGTCTGGAGCACAAGTGTGCTGAGTTCCCTTGTGGCTGAGGGAACTGGGGTTGTTGAGCCTGGAGAAAAGGAGGCTGAGGGGAGACCTTGTGGCTCTGTGCAAGTCCCTTGGAGGAGGGTGGAGAGCTGTGGGGGTGGGTCTGTTCAACCAAGGCCCAAGGGACAGGACAAGAGGAAATGGGCTCCAGTTGTGGCCAGGGCAGTTGAGATGGGATGTGAGGAAAAATTTCTTTGCTGAAAGGGTTCTGAGGCATTGGAAGGGGTTGCCCAGGGCAGTGGTGGAGTCCCCATCCCTGGAGGGATTGAAGAGTCATGTAGACACAGTGCTGAGGGACATGGGTTAGTCGTGTTGGGTTCATGGTTGGACTCGATGAGCTTAAAGGGCTTTTCCAATCCAGGCAGTTCTGGGGTTCTGTGACTGGGAACCGTGACACTGGGCTGATCCCCAGCCCCGGGTGCTGGAACCAGCTGGGATGAAAGACGAGCTTCCCTGCCTCAGGGAGGGATCCCATGTGCTTCCACCGGTTTAAGAAGCTAAACTTGTTCAAGAAAACATCTGACAACTTTTAAATATTGAAGCACCAACTCTGCCTCCAGCAGTCTCCAAGCTAAGGGAGAGGGTCCGTACACCCTCATCTTGCCCTGGTCTAAGAGGGAGGTTGGTTGGACTCGGGGCCACAAGTCTCCATCCATACCTGCCACCCATCCCGGATCTTCTGGTTGAAGATGCCGTACTCG